AATAAATATTGTTAAAAATGTATTAGCACTTACATTCAGTAATAAAGAAAAAGTAATACATCATGATCAAGTGGAGTTCGTCTCAGCAAAGTGAAGTTATAATTCATTATATTTACACAAAAAGCAAAATAGTGTCAAGAATTGAAAACAACTTTTTTAACTGACAAAACTGAATCTTCATTTATGACCCTCCTTCAAAAAAAAAAAAAATTTTCAGAAAACTATTAACAGGAGGAACCATTATCAACCTGAAAAAAGACATCTGCAAAAAACTTACTGTTATTATTAATGGTGGAAGAATTTCTCCCCTCAACACCATCAATTGATAACGAGCAAGGCAAGAATGTTCGCTCATTCCACATATGTTCCATATTGCACTGGAGGAACTGACTGAGGCAACATATAATAAGAAGAAGTAAGAGACTTACAGAGCCAAAAGGGAGATATAAATGCTTTCTATTTCCAAACAAGATGATATTTTTACACATGGAAAATCCTGTACAATCTAAAGAAACTTACTAGAACTAAAAAATAAGTTTAGCAAGACTACAGAATAAAAGAAATATAGTAATTATATTTTATATACTAGGAGTGTCCATTTCAAAATTTAAATTTTAAAATTATTTATAACAGCATCAAAACATAAAATAATTAATAATTAGGGAAAAGTTTAACAAAATATGTACAATATTTTTACGCTAAAATAAAAAAATTGTAAAGGGAAATTAAATATTTAAACAAAAGACCAATACATCGGCCAGGCTCCATGGCTCACACCTGTAATCCCAGCATTTTGGGAGGCTGAGGCTGGCAGATCATTTCCTGTCAGGAGTTCAAGATCAGCCTGCCAACATGACAAAACCCCATCTCCACTTAAAGTAGAAAAATTACCTGGCTGTGGTGGCAGATGCCTGCAATCCTAGCTACTTGGGAGGCTGAGGCAGGAGAATCACTTGAACCTGAGAGGCAGAGGCTAAAGTGAGCTGAGCGCATATCACTGCACTCTAGCCTGGTGGACAGAATAAGACTCCGTCTCAAAAAAAAAAGTAATATATATGTTTATGAATAAGATTATTCAATACCAATAAGATGTCAATTCTCCCCAAGTTTACCTATAAGTTCCATGAGATCCCAATCAAAATCCTAGCAGACTCTTTTTTTATAAATTGGTAGGCTGATCCTAAACTTTATACGGAAATGAAAGGGCTTAAAATAGCCAAAGGAATTTGAAAATCTTCTAGAAGTTAATTTAAGAGAAAATTTTTGCAAACTTGAATGAGGGAATTATTTCTTAGGGCACAAAAACATTATCCATTTAAAAAGGGCTAATAAATAGAATTTCAGTTTAAAAATGCCTGCTCTGTGAAATAAACTGTTATAAAAATGAAAAAAAAAAAAGCCAGAGTAAAAAATCTTGTATCCAGAATATATAAAGAACTTTCCCAACTCAATATTTAAAAATATTTGAACAGACAGGTTACCAAAGAAGATACATAAGTACATGACAAGATTCTCAGCATCATTACTTTTGAGGGAAATACAAATTAAAATACAATGTCATGTTTTACTCCTATATAATTTTTAGAACTTAATATTTTAATGGCAATATCAAATGCTCACCAGCATGCTGAGCAAACAGAACTCTCCTAAATTGCTGATGGGAAGGCAAAATGGTAGAACCATTTGGAAATCAGTTTAGTTATTTCTTATTAAGTTAAGCATACACTTAACACATGATATAGGAATCCCACATTTATGTATGTACTCAGGTGACATGAAAACATTTACTCGCTCAAATAACTCTGTATTAATATTTATGGTTGCTTTATTCAAATTTTTTCAAAACTGGAAACAACCCACATTTTCACCAATTGGTGAATGAATATACAAATTACAGTATGTTCATCCAATAGAACAGCCATCCTTTTAAATATGATCATACCTGCCCAGGCACAGTGGCTCTCATCTGTAAGCACTTTGGGAGGGCAAGGCAGACAGATCACTTGAGGTTAGGAGTTTGAGACCAGCCTGGCCAGCATGGTGAAATCCTTTCTCTACCAAACATACCAAAAAAAAAAAAAAAAAAAAAAGATTAGCCAGGTGTGGTGGCATGTGTCTCCACCACTCAGGAGGGTGAGGTGGGAGAATCTCTTAAACCCAGGAAGTGAGCCAAGGTCACGCCACTTCACTTCAGCATGGGTGCCAGAGCAAGACTCAGTCTCAAAAAAAAAAAAAAATGCTCATACATTTAACAACATGGATAAGACTCAAAAACAGATTCCAGATGCTACATACTATATGCTTTATTCCTACAGACTCTAGGAAAGACATAAATAGGGACAGAAATCAAATCAGTGGATGCCAGGACCTGGAGGTGGGGTAAGGAATTGACTGCAAACAGGCATTAGAGAAATTTGGGGAATAATAGAAATGTTTTGTATATTAACTGTAGTGGAAGATACATAGCATCTGCATTTGTCAAAACTCATCCAACCGTACAGTTTAAAAGAGTAAATGTGTGTGTAAATTATACCTCAACAAACTTGACTTGAGACTTGAAAAAAAGAGCAGGAAATACTAGATAATAATATGAATAACAGTGGCATTTGCAGTCATGTTGGTCTTTACAAAGGACCCAATTTGTGTTTCTCTGAGCACAGTATTGGGTCCCTTTTATCTCCCCTCTTTCAGTCTCTTTTCCAGTTTGGTTTCACCAAAGGGAAACACCACAGGAGACTGAAGAAAAGAAGGAGAGTGAGGTCTTGTGCTTATTTCATAGGTTCCATGCCCTGTAGTTTGCTCTTGACTTACAGTGTCCCTTGGTGAAATATCACACTTCTGCCAGACAACTTTGTCTACTCAAGATCCCTTTGTCTCTGGGTCCCTGTAACTATCCTTAAGTCTTCTGGGCTCAGGTTCACTATACTATATGATCCCTTCTGGTTCTTCTACATGATGTTCACATCAGGTTCTCTTCAAATTACTCAACTTGAATGTGCCATCTCTTTCCTGCCACATTCTGATAGAGACAGTAAGGTTCAACCCTTTGTCCCATCGCCTCTAAGCTAAGAAAATTTGGGCTATTCATTTTACAGATTTAGGTTTCTACACCTAACTGAGCTTTAGGCTTCTCATCTATTATATTTGAAAACTTATACTTCCTTGGCATGGTAGTTATGGAAATTAAATTATGACATGCTGGTTGAAAAAGTGTTCATTAATATTTTTTCCCTTTCTCATCTTAGTGTCTCCCCATCTCAGCCGGAATATTCTCTTTAACTTTTATTTCTTTGCATGCTCCAATTTTTCCTCTTTCTTTGAAGGTAATAGAACTTTTCTATCATGTATAAATGCATAAGTAAATGACATAGAGGTGAATAATATACAGAAGGCTGTGTAAGTGGCTTAAATGTACCATGGATGTTCCTGGAATAAACTGTTGCTATTTCTACTGCTGCAGAACAGTTAAGTCAAACTTTTGAATTAGGTCAACAAAATCCACAAATAGGGTGGAATCTTTGGACTGTCTAAGCAGTGACAGATCTGGAATAAATCAGCCACAGATATCACTTGTCGGCATGCTAAGAGAGGCATTTCAAATAAGGATAAAAGGTATGTCAATAATATTGGCTTCTGGTAGCATTATGATGCATCCATTAATCTATATTGAGAGTTTTCCATCATGTGGATTCAAGCTAACATAACTGATTTATGGCAGTAATGTCTAAACAAGGGTCCACAATTAGGCTGTATTTTTATCTTGACTTGTGAACTGTCTCTGCCAACTACTCAAATTTCAAGCTTGTTGAGACAAATGTTATCCCTGGAAACCCTTCATAAAAATGAAGCATTTTACGATCCCACCAATTCTGCGTGCTCTGGTCAGTTCCCTCATCTAGATCCAAATTAACCATGTAATAGTTCCTATACTAGTGACTAGTATTTTAAATGGCCTTTTTAGGAAAACCAAAAAGAATAAATTTATTTTTTTTGTGCAAAAATATAATCTGGTTTGGATTCTCTTTTCTAGCTTTTAAAGTAGTGAGACAGAAGGCAGTCGTAGGAAAAGAACTGGATATGGAATTAAGAAGATCTGCATTTGAAATCCAGCTCTGAGACTACTTCCTAGCTGTGTGACCTCATAAAGTCACTTGACTTACCTGAGCCTTGGCCTCTTTATCTGTCAAATGGGGACCCTCTGGTGAATCAAATGAGCCATTAATGATCTAATAAGATAATATGTTGCCTTTATAACTTAATAATTCACAGAGATGCAAATGTGCTTAGTAAGAGATAAGAATAAAAGAAACCTTCAGACAGAGGCAGAAATATTTTGGTTAAAAGGTAATTAAAGTACTGGAGGACAACAGCAAGATAAAAATGATTACAACATCTTCATTTATAGCTCACATGTCACAGCTCAGTATTTATAGGTTTGTTAGTGACAGTCTTCCCAGTATAGCAATGTTAATTACGAACTAGCTGTCATTGTGTTTCACTGACACAGCACTGTGCACCTGACTGAGGCTGAAACGATTCATTATTTCCACAGCTGATCATTTAAAGATCCAAAAATTACACCAATAAATCAGTCTGTGTCTGATTATAATCTCCCTAAATTGTACTTTGAAATTCCCTGGTGACTTTTCAACAAATCTTAGTGTATTTTATTTCTCAAACATGATTTGTAATAGCCAGAGCTTGACTAAAACCTCAGGAAGAGGTGATGGGTGTGAAGCTGAACACAATCTACACTTAAATTTTCCAGAGCCTATGCTTCCATTGCTACTTAAATGCCATGATCAAAGCAAGAGATAGATTAAATATGGAGGGAAAGGAGGGAGGGAGAGGGAGGGAGAGAAAGAGATTGAAGAGAGGCTTGGGAAAATGCTCAGTGGAAAATCTGCAGAAATGATGTAACACAAAGCAAAGGCAGGGATTGGAGTAAGGGGTGTATAACTGAGACTATAAAAACTCAGAGAGAAAACTCACCATAGGGCTGAGTTTTGGAGAAACTGCACAGACAGTACTCTAAAGTTCGAATCTCCTGATTTTTCACAAGGTAAGTTACATGTAAAAATTGACAAATATTTAGTGCTTTTTTCTTTTAACTATTATTTTTACTTCCACAGACTCTTTAAGTGTTTTGATTATATCTGGATCTTTTCTAATTAGAAACATTTTTGGTAATATTTCCCTCTCTAAAATGAGTAGAAAAGCAAAGATATTTTTGCAATGCAAATTTAAGGTGGAACTAATTGCTTATTCAGATATTTCATATTTATTACATTGCTTTTTGCATTTCTTTCATTTCAAAACAAAGAGAAGGTGGATGCAAGATAATAATTCTATAGGTATGTTAATAGCATTATTTTGCTTTCCTCAAAAAATGTTTCATATAGAAGAGTGGTCTAAACAACCTTGAAGCTTCAGAAACATCCCTAAACTAATGAAATTCTTTGTTCTTAAAACCTAAAGCATCTTGTTTTTCTCCTTATATATCAAACCTGCAAATATGATATTGATAACAGTTGGAATACACTTTGATTATGTCTGTTCTTCAGTATTTGCAGTGCTATTCAATGATTGAATTGAGAGTTAATGTGAAGCATACATTTGAGTTCTCTTTGAGAAGAAATGTAACATTTTATTTCAGGTTTAGTGTGCACTCAATGAATTCAGTTCTAACAATTCAAATGCTGTTTCTTTGAATAACAGACTCTATAGTTTTAGGAATGTGATTATTGTTTGTTCATGAGTTTTTCTCCTAAAAATTTAGCATTTTTGAGAATGAATCATAGTAATTTTAATGCCTATAAAAGTTATAGAATTGATAGTATTATACCTAATAGTCTACCCAAAAACATCAGGGACATTTTGTGTCTTCTCTTTGATATTACTCTTCAGCCCTCTTACAGAACTTTTCTAAAGAGCACTTTCTGTTGATAACAGTTCAAGTCTCCTCCATATAAATGAATTCTACTATGGCTTCACTAAAAAATTATTTAGAGTGTTTAAGGTCGACAGTAGCTTTCTCCCCCTTACTTCCCAGGATTTTAACTGATTCTTATATCATGAATAATGAGCAGTAGAGAAGCAGATATCTTTAGCTGATTAGGTGCAGGAACCTCAGGGCTATTATTTTAACTTCTTTTACAAATACTCTCAATGATTTAAATGTTTGATTAATAAAATCAGATTAATTGTACTTGTCTCAAAAAATAAAGAACTCAAAGAAATCCTAATATATTGTTCTAGCTCTATTATAATCTACCTATACAACTTCACACAAGCCTTAAGCGCAAATTAAAGCTCGATAATGTTGTATTTTGTCCTTATGAAAAGGACAAAAGAAATAGAAGTGCTAGGGATACTGAGTATAAAAATATTTGAGGAAGCCCCAGTGTCAGTCAGTGTTCTCTACATCAGAGAATAAAACCTCAGTATCACAGAATCGTAGGACTAATCTTTAGACTCGAGCTAATTTAACTGTTTTGCCAATACTTCATTTACTATGACTCTTACCTACCAGACAACTTTTGCTTAGATTCAACAGTTCAGTCAGAGCAATACAAGATTTGTAGGCAGAAAACTAGACTTTTAATCCTAGTTTTGACTTCAACAGCTTTATGGACAAATCGTTCAGCTTCCCCGAAGCTTTATTCTCCCCTCAGTAAAACTGGAGTTTGTGAAGGTACAATGGGTAAGCTACAACAAGGTGCTAATTCTGGGTATCTCACTTAAATGAACCTACTCTCCAAATGTCTCAAGATTTCTCAGATTAAAGTCATTTTTTAGCTGAGTGCTTTCTCTTCTTTCTTCAAGTAAGTGTCATGGTACACCCCTGGAGCAGTGACCCCTTCTTTATTGCCACTTCATTAGCTCAGGCCTTAATACAAACCATATCCTCCCTCTAGTAACAGTGCCTTTGCCATCACTTTCTGCTCCCTCTTCCTCTTCAATCATTTCTGTATTCTTATCTTCTCTCCTCTCCCTTGAGCATTTTCTCTGATCATCACTCACTTTCTCCATCTATTAGAGAGTATTAAATTTGATAATTTCTAATGATTGCTTCCTCTCTTTCTAAAAGTCTATATTCCTATGATCCCTAAGGCTATAAACATGTAAAAATTCCACTTTAAAAATATTATATAAAATGGTATTAAAATTCACTTTAGTTGGCACAATTAGAGCTAGAAGAATAGTGATGTCTTCAGTACAACTGAACTTTCTTTTGTTTCTTTCCCAGGATTACATTTTCTATAGTTGGAAGGAATTTTTATAGAAATATTATGACTCAAAATAATAACACACCAAATGTTAGAGTGACTTCTATTTATAACTCTCTATAGTGAAATTCCCTCCCCCATTCAATATTACTTTTCTTACTATATTTTATTTTCTATCACTCTGCCATAATTCTAGATTTTGAAGACTAATTTTGTTTCTTAAACTGAATGATAAAAATATTTTTTCATAAAAACTAAAAAGTAGTAGCAATCTGACACAGGAACAGAAAACCAAACACCTCATGTTCTCACTCATAAGTGGGTGTTGAAAATGAGAACATATGGACGCAGGGAGGGGAACATCACACACTGGGGTCTGTTGCGGGGTAGGGAGCTAGGGGAGGGATAGCAGGGGGTGGGGAGATTGGGGAGGGATAACACTGGGGGATGGAGGCAGTAAACCACCGTGGCATGTGTATACCTGTGTAACAATCCTGCAAGATCTGCACATGTACCCCAGAACTTAAAGTATAATAAAAAAAAAAATTAAAAGTAATTATTTTGTCAAGTTGCTGTATTTCGAAGGCAATATCAGGATGCTGATAACTGTTATTTATTGAGTAACTATTTTTTTTTTTTTTTAATGGAGTCTCACTCTGTCACCCAGGATAGAGTGCAAGTGGTACGATCTCGGCTCACTGCAACCTCCGCTTCCCAAGTTCAAGCGATTCTCCTGCCTCGGCAGCTGAAATTACAGAGGTGCCACCATATCGACTAATTTTTTGTATTTTTAGTAGAGACGGGGTTTCACCATGTCTTCAGACTGGTCTCAAACTCCTGACCTCGTAATCCACCTGCTTCAGCTTCCCAAAGTGCTGGGATTACAGACATGAGCTACCGCGCCCGGCCTTGAGTAACTAATTTAAGCCCGTCACTTTACCCAGATTACTTCTGATCTTCATGCTAAGCCTACAAATTAGGTCTTTGCCCTATTTTTCCAAAGAAGATGTTAAAACAAAAAGGCTAAATGACATGCCTAATCAAGATTCAGATCCATCCAGGTCTACTTCGACTAATTCACTTTATTGTATTAGAAAGTGTGCATACAATACCAGGCGTTAGGAGATCAGATTTCTAAAGTAACTCAGCGTGTTACAGTTCACAGATTTTTAGAAAATAGAATTATCATATTTTCTACATAAATCTAACTTGACTGTTATAAGGATGACAGGAGATTAATTTCAAGATAATAAAGCACCGCTATGCAAATGATATTTTTTAAAAGGTTATATGGGACAATTCCATTTGAAGGAAGTGGAAGCATTCCAGAAAGGCTCAGTTCTTGCAGGTCAAGTGGTTGAGGAGTTTCCACCTGAACCAGGCTGTGAGCAACAGGAAGACAGAGAAAGCATTTTTTAATTTTTTATTTTTATATCCCCAGTATCTGGCATGCAGTGTATGGCCAATAAATGCATCCTGTTGTTGAATATTATAAAATTTATATGGCCAGGTGCGGTGGCTCACGCCTATAATCCCAGCACTTTGGGAGGCCGAGGCGGGTGGATCACGAGGTCAAGAGATCGAGACCATCCTGGTCAACATGGTGAAACCCCGCCTCTACTAAAAATACAAAAATTAGCTGGGCATGGTGGTGCACGCCTGTAATTCCAGCTACTCAGGAGTTTGAGGCAGGAGAATTGCCTGAACCCAGGAGGCGGAGGTTGCGGTGAGCTGAGATCGCGCCATTGCACTCCAGTCTGGGTAACAACAGCGAAACTCCGGCTCAAAAATAAAAAAAAAAAAAAAATTATATGCTTGCCCCTCTGTTTACACATTAGAGGTACTTTTTCATCTAGTATGTTGGCTAGCTTAACATAATTATGATGTAAGATTTTGATTAAATATTTTATTTAAGTACAAAGTGGGGTAAGGGGTGAAGGGGGTAGCGGTATTCCACATTAACTTCAGATCTAAGTATGCTATATTTAACTTAATTTATCCAATTTTACCCTCTGAAAGTCTTTGAATGCTGAATTTTAAAAAGCCTATATACAGAATGGCCAGCCAGTATGTGCAACTCTCTTAGCTTTTCCCTATCTACAGTTTCAAAGCATTTTCCCATTAGTGAACATTAGAATTAAACAACAAATTTCCATAGCAGAATTGCCTACAATAATATACTAACGTTATTTTCTCTCTTTAAGTAACATAGATTTAAATCAAGAAAAATTTAGTTTTTTGGGGATTTAGGTACAGATTAATGTTTGATAAGAAATCCTACAGTTCAGACGGATGATTATTGGAGGATAGTGCTGCATGTAACTTTTATTAGAATGAGAATCTGTCGTGTGAAATACTAATGGATGTATCAGGATTCTAGCAGGAACTTCATCACATATTACTACAGGTGTAGAAATCTAGGGTAATCTCTTATCTTCCCTCTACCTTGGTTTTCACATCAAGAAAGCTGGATATTAATATCTGTCCTGTATTTCTGTTTATCTTCCACATAAGGCTGCTTCATGCTTTCATTCAACACATACATTTGACTCTACGCCAGGCATTCTGTTAGATGCTTAGATGCAAGGGTGAACATGACATGGTCTCTGCCTTAAATAATGTTATAGCAATGAAACACTTCACTAAACATCCAGATCTGGGTTTTTAAAAATAATAGTGTGATCTTTCTTTAAAGTGGCATTATAGGTTTCTTGCTTCTTAATTTTTTGCAAGAAAGAGACTACTGGTATTAATCACAGATCCAAATAGAAGAAGAAAACAGAGATACTTAAAAATAAAATTTTAAGATTTTGGAAGGCAAAGTGTGTAAAAA